TCTGCCAGCTCTGCATCATTCTTTCTAGCAATCTAGTACTTTATTGCCTTCGTTGCTTCCATTACTTGTGATTGATTCATTGCAATCGATTAGTCATTGGTAGTGAGTTAATGCAGTCCATTTGTTAGTGTAAAGGACTCTTGACGTGTGTTTCTATGTTGAAAGTGCAACCTCCATTATTCCCCTGTGTACTGCATACCAGTGTGGAGTAGACACCCAGTATAGTAGAGTTGACACGCTTGACACTTTGGCGTCGCCAACTTCAACGACGCTTTCCAACATCATTTTGCACTGAGCGGACTAACACCAACATCTCAATCATTATCCGTAAAAGAACTTTTTTCATTGCAATTAAAAGCCAATAATGTCGTTTTTATTGTAAGTAAAAGACGGTAATTTATAATCATACTTAACATAGTGCATGCGTTGAACTTGGATTTTGTTATGGGCTCAATATCATTCAACTCTAGCTAATGTTCACAGACGTAAACTTAATTAAACAACCATGTACCGGTTACAACTCCTGCTGTTGAAACAATTTGGATAAACTTGCATCAATTTTTTTCAATTTTCAATATCTTTGATAGATTACCATACACTTACAATGACATAGTTAGAAACGGTATCGCACTTGTGATGTTTTCATCTCTACATAGATGCCTTTCGTTGCAAGAAAGCATGAAAGCATCAAAACATTGGTCTAGCGACTAACGCTTGATTGTTCAGTCTTAACATTAAAAGTTGTTTTCGTCTTGGTTGATGGCATTCATCTATAGAAAGATACTACAATCTATCTTTAGCCTTGTTATGGTACAGTACTGTATGTGGATATAGAAATAACATTTACACCTGTCCTTGTCAATAACTTGCTTCAAAATTATCTAGTACTAGTAGCCAGAGCCAAATCGGACAAAATTGCAACAGGGAAGAAAATAATGTACCTTAACTGGACTTTTACTACATTGTGTAACAATTGTACAATGTATAGCTTTATTGAATTGAACTTTATTTTGACTACCCGTCCCCTCCTACAGTAGCGATCCCTGCAGTATGCCAAATGGCGAACCTCGGTCTTGCTCTGTACCACTGCATATACTGTACTGTATAGTAGATCATTCAATCAAAAATGAATTACAAAGTAGCAATTCGAGAAGGTCCCAAATTGATGATCAGTCTACTCAGCAATGAATAATTTATTAACCAATCAAAAAAACATGTACTGTAGTATAGTGCTGATAGCTACAAATCCACTTTATTTGCATTCAAATTACAAATGTTTGACTGTATTTTCATCACTCTGCCGCGAACGTAATCATACAGTACAGCAGGGATAGCGATTACCGTAACATACCAGACTAATCATCGGTTATAAAAGGGCATGGGATAAAAATCATCCATTGCCATGGGTATAGTTGTACTGTACTGCAAAGACGTCATTAACTGAATTATTCCCTATTAATTTCTTAGTCTTCGATCATTCTGACTATAGTTGTTGATGTGCACGCATTTCTGAAAAATGCATGAGCTGTAAATGTTACTCTGTCCTCAGTACTCTGATGCCATTTTTTCTAAAAGTCTATATATATATATATATTCTATTATCAAAGCCCGTCTTGACAGTAAAAGCAGGAAGATTATGCAGTGGTACTGTATTGAGTAAAACGAAACAACGAATGACTTTGAGAGATGGCACTTGATACTCATACTTGGTCTTATTATTATTTCAGTTTACAGTTAAAATGAGATCATTATTTTACAACTCGTACACGGCTTTACACCCCAGCCAGTTTTAGCAATTTACCGATATCATTCCGCTGTACCACGGACGACTAAAAGAAGAAGTAGTCTATGGCTGTAGCTGTGCTGAGTACAGTATACGCGTATCTTACCTGATAACTAGATGGAATGTACGACTAGATTCCAACACCAAAACCTTTGACTAATTCTAATTACTGTATAAACTGTGGTTGGCTCGGTTCTACATAAAGCACGAGTTGATATACCGAGGAACACTCGCTAATTGGTCATCGAAGCTATGTTTAAATCACCATAAGATGAACAGACGTAGACTTTACTCCTTGCACTATATTTCAATGTTATTATGCACCTGACTGCGCCACCAGCTTAAACATAAAAACATGACACTTGCATACTTTCAATGTCTTAGTTTAATTGATGTGGATTTACTGATCAGACTAGTACAGTATACGTGAATAAATCACATTACACATGTATTTTAGGTCAATCCTTGTAAATCATCATATAACAAGTACTTCGATTTCTTCAATAGCAATAGCAGAGCCACCAAGACATTCAAACCCAAGAAAAATATTCCAGAAGGAACTCATCAGCATGACCTAATGAAGCATGCTGCTGCTACCCTTGGCAGTGGAAATCTTCGATTGGCCGTGGTTTTACCGGAAGGTGAAGATTTGAACGAGTGGGTAGCTGTAAATAGTGAGTATTTTAAATTAAATACCTGACCATTAACTATTTGCAGAATCTTTCTATCTAGCCTTTGTAATCAAATCGAATTTTTGCCGCAATTTTACTGCTTTCCATGATGACGTTCTTACTAGATATCAATAATTGACATTTAATGCCGTATCTAAGTATTTATTGTCATTCGGTAATTTTACGAAGCATGTTGAAACATATATCGCCACTAGCTATGGACGCACTAATCGCTTATACTGTAGTACCATTTCAAAGAATATACGACGTATTTGTAATGATTTAAAATAATTCCCTTATACGATGTGTTATAGCATTAGTGAATACGTGTAGTACTGCATAGTAGCCTTCGCTTACGCTAAGAAGGTTCCTCATCCCCTTCTCATTCTTCTTCATATTGCAGCTGTTGACTTTTTTAATCAAATCAACATGCTTTACGGAACAATTACCGAATTCTGCACCGAAATTACCTGTCCAGTAATGTCAGCTGGGCCAAAGTGAGTATTCAGCAGCAAGCGTTAAGTGAAGCTTACAGTTTGAAGAGCCACTTTATGATCAATTTTACTGAAACTAAGACTAATCGAATTGGAGACACTAGAAACTAGCTAGCTGTTCAATGAAATACCAACTTTACAATTTGAATAGATATGAATATCACTGGGCAGACGGACAACAGATAAAAAAACCAATCAAATGTTCAGCTCCTCGTTACATTGACTACCTTATGTCCTGGGTACAAGAGCAAATGGATGATGAAGTTATATTTCCTTCCAAAATTGGTTAGTGTTATATGAATAAGGATTCCGTAATTGCGATTTAGTATTTTGCGTTTTAATTACCAATCAAGTCCCTTCCTTTACATCAATTGAAATAGTATCAACCGAATCATTTTGAACCCAAAAACCCAAAAGTAGCATTAATAGCAATTGATATACTGAAAATGTTACAGATTAACTTTAACATGAACTTATGAAATCATAATGGCGCATAAAGTAAATCATCAATATTGTACTGTATAATTTAACTTATCTAATTAGCGATGACATCATTTATTTTGTAGGAGTTCCTTTTCCTAAGAATTTCATCATGGTTGCCAAAACTATTTTAAAGCGATTATTCCGAGTGTATGCTCATATATATTACAATCATTTTAATCAAATCATGGGTCTTGGCGAAGAAGCACATTTAAATACTTCATTCAAGCATTTTGTCTATTTCGTACAAGAATTCAGTTTGGTTGATCGTCGAGAATTAGCGCCGCTGCAAGATTTGATTGATAAGCTAATTACAAGAGACGCAGCAAAGGGAAATTAATTCAAGTTTGTAATGAAGTAAATTTTAAACTCTTTGAACATCTTGGCTAAAGATGGAGTAGTATTAACAGTTAGCATTCTGTATTATAATTTTCGTACTATCAAATCAGCATTATAAAGACTAGTAGTACATATTTTCAAAAATCTACGATAAAGTAAACTAAAATTTGCACAACTCGGTTTGGAGGACGTATCTGGCATCAAGGATAATTTACGCTATAGATTACTCTGTATTCCTTGTGCACGTATTTCGCGACAGTGAATTGATCACAAAACGAATTACTGTTTTACGCCTATTCTGATTAAGACACTCACATAATTTATTAACTTTGATATATCAATGAATCCATTTTGTGCTGTGCAATTGTTCCAAAAATATATAAAAAGTTTTGATTTCATCTCAGAATGCAGAAATAGCTCATTGATATGTTAGCTACTTGAGTAGTTGTATCAAATTTCGCTTTTTGCTTTGAGCCACATTGATCACTGTAGATTTATGTATGTTAGAACCTTTGGGTTTTCTGCCTCTGTATTCTAATCGTTATCCTTACAGTACTTTGTCTTCAATTCATAATCAACTTTGCATAGAATTGATATGATTTTTATTATGTAAGATATGATCCTAACATCTTTGAAGACGATTTAAAAATTAAATTGATAATCTAACGGTAATAGTACGTCATCCGTACTTGTGCTTGCAAAGCACTTTTTTAGTAACCTATCGATCGCGTTATCTTGGATACAAAAATTCTGCTATGACGTATTCATTGTAATAATTATTCAACCCATTATAGCCCCGCAACTTCGCTATTAGCAGTGTCTTTACACTAAGCTAACACTATTACTTGGTATTGGTCTTGTAACATCGAAAGCGTGATTACCTGAGTGTAAAAATTTATGCCACTATACTATTAATAATCTTGTTATGAAATAGCTTTGCAACAAGATAACGTAATGTACTATCAATAAGTCGATTCCCTAAACCACGTATCAAGGAGCAATATCTACTTTATTAGGAACACTTTTTCTATACTAGTAGACTACACAAAGACTTAGACGCATCGTATTTTACGTTAAACACTAACCTTAAGAACGAACTTTATTATACGATATGCCGCATATACATACTCTTTTACAATAGTTTAGAGATCCTGGTTAGTAATAACGTTGAAACCTTCTAATGCATCAGAAGCTAATTTTACCTACTGCTACCTAATGAAGACGCTGTATTTACGAACATAGACATCTAATGACTAATACAACACAGTCAAATTACAATATGTTCTATCACGGAATATTTCCACGATAATCTACGATAAGTAAGTTACAATCACAGGGGTTTAAATTGTAAGAAGATTATTCTCGATTCCCTAATTTAACTACTAATTTCAGTATGCTGCATGTATGCATATCACTGCCATGAAAGCTAAGGCTATATTAAAACACCACATATCTAAACTAGAAACTCACTAAGTAAGGGTAAACCAATAGAATTATCCTAACATAGACATTTCTACTCTAATCTCAATATTACAGTGTCATACACTGTAACAAATCTGTACTTTGAAAGTTATCGATAACGAAAGACGTTACCGATCCGGAAGGCATTCTGAGCCATCCTGTAGCGCATAGGATCATGGGGCTCAGAAGTAAGATTTCGAATGTAGTACTGTTCATTAAAACTTTTTAAGCCAGCAGAAATTTCATTTAATAGTAAATAAGTCGTGTAGTATATTTTATTCTTTCAAAGACAAACTGCCAGCTGACAGGCTCATCTTATCTACAAAAAACGTCTCAGCAAAAGAGGAATATATTATAAAAATTACCAATGCGTAACTAACTTCACATTGCTCTTAATTGCTATCTAGTGATTATTTAATGTGCAATACGAAAGCTCGAGATGAGTAAAAACATGGGCCACACAAAGCACCAAGTACTAGCTAGGGCTTGTTTATCGATACTTGGATGCTTGCACGTTTGAAAGAAACTTTAAAGATTTAGTTGTTTTGGCTTCTCCCATGGAAATTTATTCCTGCCGAAATGACCATAGCTGGCGGTCTCTTGGAATATTGGATTCTTCAATCCGAGGTCACTGTGATAATATTAAATCACAAGCGAATAATAAAATTAGTTATCGTCAAAGTACCCTATTAATACGAGTATTGTACATAGCGCACCTCCTCAATGCCTATACAACATCTCAGTAAATAGAAATTTATTAATTAATTAAAATAGGCATTCCGATATAGTGCATTAATTAACTAAATACAAAAATTATAACAGTTCCATTTTCGATTAAAAATGAAGTAATATACCAAAGAGCCTCCTTAGAATTTATAATATACGTACATGTACAAATAAAAAAAAATTGGCACATACCGTACGATGCAGCCTGGCCGCAAATCGAAATTCTTGTGAATAATTTCTAACAACTCTGCAGTAGTCTTCTTGCTTGTACCATAGTGCCAAACTGCAACAGATAGTGGTTCGGCAACGCCAATAGCATATGATATCTAGAAAAATTGCATTAACAGTTATACATGAATATTATTAGTGCTAATCGCTATCGTAAAATTTTGAACTGTACACAAAATTTATAGCATCAAATCAGTCACAAATCACTAACCTGAATGAGTGCTCTCTTGCATAGTTTGGCATGAACTAAAGATTTAGCTATCCAACGCGCAGCATAAGCAGCCGATCTATCAACCTTTGAAGAATCTTTGCCAGAAAAAGCTCCTCCACCGTGGGCTCCCCAACCGCCGTAGGTGTCAACAATAATTTTACGTCCTGTTAAACCGGCATCTCCCTAAAATTCATGATAAAAATTCATAAAATATTATGTCTCTTGAAGAATGAGGTATTGTCTAGTTTTTAAAAATCGATATTCAATTTTATTGCTTGTAACTGAAGAATTAGTTTGAGGATAAACGATTTACCTGAGGGCCACCAATCACAAACTGGCCAGAAGGCATGATATGATAGATGGTCTCATCCGTTATATATTTTGCAGGTATTACTGCCTAAGAGTATCGTGATAATGTGGAATATTAAGGCGTTATTCTATTATAATACTTAATCAATAGTTATTATTTTATGTATATACTTACTTTGATAACTTTTTCCATAATCAATTTCTTCAGATCGTCCATTCTTTCAGACATCGATTCGGAATGTTGTACGGAAACGACAACAGTATGAACGCGTAATGGAATGCAAGCCCCATTCTCATCCCGATATTCAATAGTAACCTAAGTCAGATGTAAATTAGACAGACATCCATTCTTGAAAAAAAGGTTGACTATTTGCTAATATTACAATTAGTATAAAACATCAACATAGCAAAATATCTACTTTTACTGCGATCAGTATTACCTGGGTTTTAGAATCAGGACGTAGCCAAGAAGCGACTCCATTACGTCTCAACTCTGCCATCTTTTGATTCAACTGGTGAGCTAAAACACAAGTCAAAGGCATGCATTCTTCTGCCTCATCGGTAGCATAGCCGAACATCATTCCCTTTTAAAGATATAAAAGCATATGAGACACAAATCTTCTTGCAAGTTGCTTGCTGCACTTTTAAAAGAAAGGTAATAAACCTTCAAAGACTTTATCCAAAAGTGAAATTATAACAATTGTGATGATGGGTTCTATACAGTGCGGTACCTGATCACCGGCACCAATTTCTTCTGGACTTTTATTCAAATGCACAGACTTGGCAATCTCTGGGCTCTGCTCTTCTAGAGCCACCAAAACGTTACAGGTTTTGTGATCGAAGCCTAAAAATACAATTGATTACTTGAATAAATTTGCAATCCTAATAAACTTGTAAAAAGGTATTGATCCTATCATCTAATAATCATTTCTTCAACAAGCAGTATTAGTAGTTTGATACTGTACTACGTACGAACCTTTTGCAGAATCGTCATATCCAATTTTCTCAATTGTACTCCGGATGACTCTCTGGTAATCTACTACAGCTTTAGAAGTAATCTCACCACAGACCATTACCAAGCCAGTTTTAGTAACGGTTTCTGCATATATTCATAACATACAATAGTATTAACATTACGGTATTGTTACGATTTTAGTTACTGTAAAATATTTGGCCATACAATCTTAATTAAGCTATCAACGCCATTATTGCACATGTGTTCTTACTATCATGTTGACACAGGTTAACATGTAATCTGACGTACAACAGCACTACGTTCCTGATCATGATTATCAAGTCATCCCTTATACTGGGCACAGTAGATCGCTGTGTTCATTGCTCATGCTATCGCATATTTACTTGCATTAATGAATTTAAATTAAAACACTCGTCTCGAAGTAGTCAGTAGTCATGAGCTACCAGAATATGACGCAATAAAGCATACTTGCATGTACCACTTCTATGCTATGCCTGGAGGCAATGAAGGGTCAGTACTGTGGGGAAGAAGTGATCGCTTCTTCATTTACCTTAACTTAATAGAGTCAGCCTTTATTCTTACTTTGAATAAGTACAGTAATTACAGACGCTGACATTGTTGGTCCAAAAAGCCAGTCTACTAATGCAACATCCCTGTTTTTACACCATAGACATGATTGGTGAGATCACCAACATTATTATATACAAAATGGCAAGTTGTTGTCGCGAGAATTTTGACTGCAGAACGGTACTGTGCTAAGCGTACTGTAGTAGTGTCCAGTATGCCACGATGAGAATGGTAGTGACAGTACCAACACAGTACTGTACAGTGTACAGTACAATAGAAACGACTGGTTGTACGTTCTATACACTGTAGGGTGCAGTACAGTACTACGCATGCACAACTAGAAGTGCTACAGTACTGTACTGGATAGTAGAAACTACTGGTTGTACGTATTTTACTGTACAATATAGTAGAAATTGACCACAGTACAGTACTGTACATTACAGTAATCTTCTAGTAGTCCGTGGTGTACTGTATGACACGATGTAAAGTACTGTAGTACGTATGCTATATTGTACTGTACAGGTAAAGAGTTCTTTCTTTCATCTCCCCTATGATTGCGTAATGCGTACTCGTCGATCACGTGTTTGTTGAGAACAAGAAAAAGTCCCTTCAATAGGAGAAAAGTTGTTAAGACAACGGTAACGTACTGTGATAGTGTATACACACTACATTGGATACTGTTGCATGAGATGCTTGTGTGACCGTGTGTCAATACCGTACTCGGACCTAGCACGCTATTGCAATATTTGATTAGTGTATTAATTAGAACTATTATAAAACGTAAGCCAGTCCTCTTTGATTAATTCTAAGCTGATGTAGAGAATAACATTTTGCAATAGTGTCTTTACTAGCTCAGTTGACTACTGCAGTACGTCATTTTTGAAATAGTAATAAAATTACCAATTCTCTATCATGGACAAGTTTACATCTACATGATATTAGTACAGTTGCACCATCGTAGCTCGAACTATTTTTTTACTAGTGAGCACTGACTGTAGTGCACACTGCACAGTTTACTGTTCCGTGCTTACCGTATGCTCATTACAAATGCAGTACAGTAATAAACAGCATCGTACAATAATAAAAGGAAGTTCAAATTACTGTTTACACTGAGCTCACAGACTGCAGAACCGGTTATACATTTGTCAACCCTTTAAGGTCATCCGGTAATTAATGAACTGGGAACTGGAATAACAGTGTCAATAAATCATTACAAAGAGCTGCTCCACCACATTACTGTATACAGGACTGCAATGCACTATACGAATATAATAATATATTATAAACAATGCATTAAAGAGGCGATACCTCAACAAAGACTTGCCCAGCATTAGATTAAATAAGCCTTTCAATATGGCCTCCTTGGCCTTAGGCTTATTCAATCAAACGCTATACTCTTACAAGAGTATCCTGTGATTTTAATATGAACGTATCCAAATCAAGACGAAAAAGCTACGGTTCCCAAGCAATGGACACTAATCCATCCATTGCATCAAATAATTACAACATCATGCGTTTACAGTATACTGTACTTCTGTAATTGAACTGCATATCTGTTACCTAGATTTAGCACAAAAGCTACAACTGCCTTCTCCTAACGAACTATAAACGACAATATCTTCTATTGTACAGTACTGTCAATAATAATAAACGTACTGTGTAAGCTGAAGTTTCTATACTACTGCATATACACATCTTTTACACTCTATCAGTCTACAACATATGATTGCCATATCATAAATACAGGACTACAGTATGCATATTACTACCGAGTCAAAAATTTGTTGATATCATCCGATAACTCATTAAGTACTGGTTTGGGAAACACGCCCTACTATTGAACACTAATTGCAAAGAAGTTAATGCATTGTACAGTATATTGCACTACTCGGATAGAAGCATGTGGAACTATCAATTACTGTTTCGGTAATAATAACCGAACTAACCGCAGGCTACTTTAGCATCTGGATCCTGCGCAAGATGGGCGTCCAAAACAGCATCTGATATTTGATCGCAGATTTTATCTATGCGCAGAGAAGAAAACTTAAAAATTAGTCAAACAGAAGCATTACCGTAAACAGGGTGTAACTACACCATATAAATATAAGCTGTACTTCAAATTACCGTACAACACAGAAACTGTACCTTACGGTGGCCTGACTAGGCCTAACATGATGCAGCAGTCAAGTGTAGTCTAAATTTTTTTAAACTCACAGTTTGTCTTCTCTGACGGCAAATGCCGATAGAGATTCTCTGCTCAATATTACATTTCGATAATGTATCCATAGTTGTAATCATTGTAAAGAGTGCATTCTAATATTGCACGCGGAAGTACAGCCTAGTTTTTTTATCCATGCTTAATGTGTAAATACTATTAATATTTTATTGCTATTTTCAGATAAAGTATCATTTCCAACATACTGTACAGTACAGTACAGTAAAAATTGTGATGGTTAACTTGACGCTGAAATGAATTTTGCTGCCACGTCTAGCCACGTCACGCCAAAAAAAAATAATTCATATGTTTATATATAACTTAATTATGCAAAAGGCCAAATGCCATCGTCATCGATGACATGTACAGTATAGTAGAGCGATGAATTTACTTGAAAAAAAGGCAAGGAGTTAACGTAAACTATAAACTAACTAATGAGCGAAGTGTAGCCACTACAGGTAGGTGGATACGTGGATACAGCCGCATGGCAGACGCTACTCCATTGACTACAACAAAAACATATCCTTTCTAATGAGTGAGAGTGCTGGCATGGAATATTGGCAGCGTTGTGAGAGATAAATTCATTTTTGTCAGGATACCTGGATGGCCTTCTCCAACTGATTCCGAAGTGAAAAGGAAAGTCCCAAGGTCACTATTACGAGATGTGTTCATTTCGATGGAAATTTCTTACGTATAGCAGTACAACCGAGCAAGTTGGAGTATAGACGCTTCCGAAGGCGTTGCAAATTCGAGAAATAGACACGCACCCACCCCAAGCGATCTTTATATATCACTCATTACAATACTTTACGGTACAGTACAATGCACTTACAGTACAGTACTGTACATACTGCACTGTACGGTGTACAGTGTAAACAGTAAAATTACTGTACTGTATTGTACTGTACTGTACTGTACAGTGTACACTGCCCTCATTTTTGTGTTTACGATACAGTACATACTGTACACTGTACTGTACAGTAGACTAATTTTACCATTTAAATACAGTACAGACTGTACAGTACAGTAGCGTGTACGGTCTAGTTTGTACAGGATGGTGATACAGTGTACAGTACAGTTCCGCATACTGCTTTAGTATGAGCCTTTACGACCGTACGGTACAAGGTAGCTTAGAAAACCCCCAAAACAAATAAATAAATAAATAAAACATAGGTTACGGAACGAAATTATACAGTACTGTACAGTACAGTACAGTACTGTAGTGTGCAGTACACTGTACTGTAGGTCTCCAGAGACCCTCCGTATCCTCTAGGGAGTTTAGCTCACGTGCGTCAACGGGACTTCAGGCATGATTAAGGTCAACCTGTGGAGTACCGGTGTAATACTACTGTATTATTAGGAATCACTGCTAACAAGAGAGACGTACAGTATGGACAGTACAGTGTTGGCGCACTGTACTAGTTTTAATGAAAGGACCTTTAATTAATTAATTAATTAGCAGTCCCTGTTTTAAATCTGGTTTTGGCTTTCAGTACTTCAAAGACCTACAGTAAGCAAGCCCCAACATTTGTTCACTATTGTAAACTGGTTTCTCTGATCATGTTTGCACGTTTGTTATAAATCGACCTTGTTTGATCAACTCTCGCCATACTGTATACAGTACTCGCTAATCCATATCCAACGTCAATTCAACTTGAACATGGGAAGAAATTGGAAGAGTCTATATTTGTTGATTATTTTATAACTTGTTCTCTTTACCTCTATGTGTTTAAATGGTCGCTTGTATATTGTACAACTTGTAACGAGGGTTGCCAGTGCTAGTACAGTGTTGTACTTAAATGTACTGTTCTGTACAGTGTATAGTGTACATATGGAGAACTCTGAGAAAGAAAATCCAAGTCTGTTTATACCGCACATGTTTATACGTTACAGATGTTTATATTAAATTCATTAATTAGACAGTATCCATATACTATACCATACTGTTTCCAACGAGCAGTAGTATTAAATGGATTGAAAACGTAGCCCGAACTCAATAAAACCCGATCAAATGGTTGATTTTTGAACACGAAATGAGTGCAATCGACCTGTACACTGTACTGTACAGTATCACTACAGAAATTCTTAACCCGAACCCCGCCCTCGAGTCCGGCGACTGTTGATTTTTAAAAGACACTGTCCTAGGGTTTCTACTGTTGTCCGTCTGTCAGGTAAAAAACCTCTATTCTGTACTGTAGTATAGATCATAAAGGTATTGAATCGAACCGAACCTTTCTCAAGTCAATACTGTACTGTACAGTACAGTATGGAACGTTTTGGGGTTCAATTAAAATTAATTAATTAGGGTTAATTATAACTTATATAAGCAACGAAAGCAGATAAGTTAGCAGAATTTATTATAAGAACAGTCAAAGAAATATACAGTAGTACTGTATGATTGCAACATACTGTAAGGACCAGTACAGTACGATGGCCCATGATGTACAGTAAGTACTCCGCAGCAAGGCGCAGATGTAGCTGTGTAAAGGTTGTTGTAAGTTGGAACAAACATTAGATACCCTGATACTGTCTATGTCATATATACTGTATAGCAGCGGTATACACGCACAGTAAATACTCCGCAGCAGCGCCTTGCAGCAACGCGAGCCATTTACTGCAGGCCTGCAGCACAGTATTCCAAGATTTTATAACATTATGTTATGATTAGGCCATTTGAACATAACATTAAACATTTAATGGTGAACAAGGCTGCTACTGGTTGTATGCAACATCCAGCGTATAGTAATCCAATTATACTGTATTATTATATACCGATTCATTACCATACTGTACATTAAGGTATGGTATCGTAGGCCATCGTATACCAGAGAGTACAGTACAGTACAGTACTGTAGAGTACAGTACAGTAGTTGAGAGAAAAGTTTAGCGGGAGAGATGTACTGTACACTGTACTGTACTGTACAGTGTACAGTGTACAGTACTGTATGAAGATACTGTGAAGCATACTGTACTGTACTGTACAGACCTGAGTGTACAGTACTGTACAGAATCGTAAATAGAGATCTTTATACTCTGGTCGGGCCTGGTCTGGTCCAATACCGTACTATGTGTACATACTGGAACTGTCCTCTTCTCCATCGGTCATAACATTAATACTCGTTCTACAGTATATTAGTTAAGTACAAATTTTGATATCTGTACACAAATCTCAACAGAGCCAAATTTGTTCAAGCTCAGACTATCAAGTTATAGAACCCAAAGCTGACCCGAATCCTGCACTTCTTCTGCATAGAAATTGAAAATTAATCATTGATACAAGTTTCACAATATTGTATTATTCATGTCTTCCAACGAGCACCGTAAGTAATAATTAAGAAGTAAGCTTGAAGAGCAGAATGCAAAGCATTGCTCTGCAGTCTGCACACTTCCTACTCCACTCTACTAACTGTGTTGCAGGCATGTTCGCGTCGGATAGCCACATAGAAGCTGCACAAATTGTACATTTTGTCAGATGATTATTGCAGTTTATCACTTGTAGAACAACAATGATTACGTCTCTTATTTCGCATTGCCTTTGCTACCTGTTTTATAAAGATGCAAGATGATATTATGGCTAAAGGATTCAATCAATATAATTATACGCGTTTGATTATAATACAATAATTACAGTAATTTATAATAATGCAGTGTGATCCCTTCTGATATCCTGACTGATTTAGAGTACTGTATTAGAATAAAGTAAGTGTACACCTACAGTACTGTGTATTGTTGATTTCTGTACTACTGCATGAACTGATTTTAAGAGCATTAAAATTATCAGTACTAAGTTAATTATTTGCGCTATAATAATTGTGAAATCTAATGATGATGCAATTTACTATCTTTCAGCGGATGCTTCCAAATTGCCGGTTACAAGGTGCGTCAAGCTGTGCATAAACTAAGCCAATGATTTACGAATAGTTATTATCATCCTCATCAATTCATACTACCATGCAAAGTGTAAATCATCTATAGCTAAATAGATGATACGTATAGTATTGTCGCTTGTTGATTCATGACCATTACGACTTGACGCTAAAATTATTTCAATTGTAATCTATCGATATTTCAACTTACAGTATTTATTTATTCTGCAATAGCTAATACTATAAACATTTGCGAAGTCAATGATTGCCATATCTGTCTCATATGCGTATTTTTGCACCATTACTACAACTACCGATATACTGTATACTGTACAGCAGTAATAACATAGTTAATCGTGATAGCTATTTAGCTCATGCATGATTTACATTGACAAATACCATTACAGTGCTGTATGTATATAGATCATATTTCCTGTGCAGTACAGTACGGTAGTACTTACTTTTCAAATATTGCTTTCAGTCGTAGACTATCCTCCATAAGACCGGCAAGAGATTTAACATTGGGCGGAGTTCCAAAGGTAAGCTATGTCCATATCATATGATCATATAATTCTGTCCTTACTCAATACGGATAATTTTAACTTTCATATCAGTTACATACTTCAACATAGTATTAAATTTATAATTGTATGGCCAATAAATTACCAAGTAGTCAACAAAATGCTACATTACAATTGCTACGTCACTTAAGTTGTACTGTCTTGCAATATTTCATAGCAGCCTTAACTTACTCTGTAAATGGCACAGTCCGTTATGCACTGTGCTTATATTATATCGTAAGGTATTACTGCATATAGAGTCTATATGCATTCACTCGATACCGAACGACCTCAGAGGCACATCTTCTGAACTTAATTATTTCATATAGCAAAGTTCACTAGAGAAATATTGCATTGACTTTAATATCACACGATGCGCATGTCCTATTTGTCTACATCGTTTATAGGTAATATAGCTACAAATATCTTGAGCTGACAATACGACCGTCCAACATTCTAGCTCATTCTACCTAATTTTTTTATATACTAATAACAATTAGAAAACTTTTACGCCGGTGATACCTTCCAGAAACAATGAAAGAGCTACGAAATCCGCGAATGCATCTAATACTAGGTAGCTATCATCTAATATTGAAATATGTGAGTTACTCGTATGGCGCTTATTGCGCAAGATCTGTAAGTATACAATGCTAGTTAGTATACATTAAATAATGGAGACTCACTATGCTACACTTCAAGTATTCGAAGTTTGATTTTTCTAAATTCAATATGCAGCATTACAGTCGTTCACTTCTGGAATACGTTAAATTAACATAAACTGTTAATTGTAAACTTTAAGCGCTCGAATAATGCAAGATCTATTCCAACTGTAGAAATTTTAAATATAAAATGATGACACGTTGTTCTCAATATTACATTATAAATTATATAATTAATAGCTGCGCGATATTTTATTACCATGTTATACAATTTTCTAAATCTATTTCTTTATTCTACTTTAAATCTACGATCAATCCCGCCAGCGCTGAGGTACGATATATCAACAGTCTATAGCTATCGTTAAATTGCATATTTTTGATTATTAATCTGTCTAAATGAGTTTCTCTTTTGAAGATGATTGCTTGTTAACAAACTTGATTTATCCTAATTAATATAGCCCTCCAAAAAAGAAATCCTTAAGGAAAAGACCACGTTGTCCAAAGAGACACGTCAGAATCGCAATCTCAAACAGCATTCAAATTTAAGCACCTCTAGCAGGAATGTGACATCGCAGCCAACTGTGTTTTCCTTTCGAAAAAATAGGGAAACCGTTGCCGATGCCAAGATGTTTACCAGGGGTAATATGGCGCCGTAAAGAAAACGTAATACATACTAGATATTGGAGTTATGAGAAATCTGACTTTCATTATTAATAGGCTCCTCCGATAAAGTTACGGTTAAGACAGAGGAAATGGACATAGATAGCTTCGAAAATGCATATTCTGACGATGAAGATAGTTCAAATAATGCAAGTTTTGTAACGCCATATTTATTTATTTGAACCACAATTAGTGCTAGAGCCAACTTTTTTTATAACCCCGCCAAAAAGTGTGTGATAGCATTCTAAATCAGTGTGCTTACTATTCACGACAGACTTTCAATGAAAATACCCGCACTCTACCCATACAATTACCACTTTCAAGGTGTCGAAAAGGGAAAGAAAAAAGTATTTTAGTGAAGCAAGAAGATTCCGCGACAAAATCAAAGCTAACCGACGATATCACTCCTGCACAAATTTTAGTGAAAGAGGTGATAAGAGCACACTCATATTATGAAGTAGAGTCCAATTTAATGGTTGACTTATATTAATTTCGTAGAAATTAATTATTATGTCTATATTTTTTAGTCCACAAAATGCGATAATGGTAGTCTGCTATTAATCCAACTGCCTGATATGTTACCATTAATCGCCCAAGCAAGTCCGAGTGAGGTATTTTCGATGCACCATAAATACATTATGAATTTTCTTAATGTTGTCAAATGCGTAAGTTTAATTACAAAGTACTCTTGTTCACGATGATAATACTGGTAGTAATTTCTTTACAGGATACAACGGAAGAAAATAAAACTAATCTTTCAAGCCTTCGAAATGCAAAGGATGGGTTGATTGGCAAGCTGCAAATTCATCGATCAGGAAAAACTAGGTTAGTAAACACAGCTTAATCCTGTTATCATTACGAAAATATCGATGTCGTTATGACTGCGTAACAGTTAAGAAAAGACCAGTATTATTTATATCCATTTTTGTAATACATTGTCAGTCTGGTAATTGGAAATATACCTTACAAGCTGAGATCCGGAACAAGATGCGATTTCTTGCAGGTACTGCAATTTTTAAATCAATCGAATAATCCTATATCATACCAAGGATTCCATTGTCTTTAATCAGGATCTAGCATCAATAAAAGCTATGGAAAATGATGGCTATGTAATCAATCTAGGCCCAATTAAACATAGACTGGTTTGCACTCCGGACGTTGAAAAATTGCTAAAATCATTACCTTAACGACAAAATAATAGCAAATACATATATCGAATTTCTGTCATCTTTATCAACCAAAGTTACTTCCATCTCACAAATGACTATTTTTAATTAGCGATTTTGATAGTGATGCCATTGAATTATTTATTTTATTAATTAACCAACATCAATTTCCAGAAGAGATTCTTTTAAAATAATTGTTCTTCTCAGTTGTAAGAATACAAGTCATTTAAAAATTATTTGAAAATTGTTTGTAAATCAAATACATTGATACGATTATTAAATTAAGTTAATATTTTGTTCTTTGCAAGATCTGTCATATATAATTGCATTTGATCAAAATATTACATAAACGTTTAAACATAAGCAATACAAATCAATATCGGCTTGTTTATAGGGCTACTCATAACATTAATACAACCGTATATAACGAAATTGCAACCGCAATAGCACCGTTTTAACCTTAGAGGTGCGCATGATATTTACAATCCATATTCATACCATAGCCTTATACATTTGCGGCATTATTCCCGAATGCTAATAGCTAGTAATACAAGACATTAAGACATATATTCATTGATAGGTTCTCTAGTGAGCTTTTCATCTCGTAATAAACATCGCTATTGACTATATATCTTGCTCATAGCATCGTTGGAAAGATCGGCTTTACTTTTCAGTAGCTTTTGCATGCCTTGCTCAAAGTCGGTCATTCTCATCGATGGCATACTTACATTGTCACTTTGATTATTCTCCTGCTGATTTACGTAATCTCTAACGCGACAAGCAGCAGCATACCGACATACTTCACGTAAGTCACTTCCACTCAACCCTTCACTACATTGAGCTATATTATCCAAAACTACATCATCTGCCAACTAAAATAAACAACATAAACGCAATTTCTTATAACTGTACGCCTTATTAATGTCCTACGCAGCTACGTGTCACAAAATATATCAGCATATTATTAAAAATCTTCTCCGACTAATTATTAAACCGTTTAGCTTAACATGAACTTTAGTCTATGTAGCATTTAGTAAGCAAACAAGTTTATCGTAATAATCGATCATTAAATAAAGAGTTACTATCTTCATACTATGCTAAACTTACAATTACTCAATTTAGAAGTTATAAGAGCAAAAGCTAGCAATTTACCTTCTCATCTTTCAAGATTTTACCAATTATTTGCCGACGACATGCCAAATCTGGTAAAGGAATATGAAAGCGAGCAGGCATCCGACGTAAGATTGCAGCATCTACATCAGCTAAACGGTTGGTGGCACCCAAAATCATAATGTTTGCGGACTCATCTGAACATAAACCTATTGCAAAGATGAAATTAGGAAAAGTTTTCATTGTAGTCAACATAGGCTATACACAGGCAAAAATCATTCATTCGTCTCATATGAATTGATGAAGTTTCTGTTTGGGAAACATCTAAATTATAAAAGCTAAGAAGTAAATGTATTACATTACCATCCCATAAGCTCATAAACTGAGCTTTCATCATAGCCGTAGCTTCATGATCATTGGAAGAACGAGCGCGCAAGAAAGAATCGATTTCATCAACGAAAATTATTACAGGCTGTAGTTTATATGCCAAACTGAATACGGCAGCAGCCAACTTTTGAGATTCTCCATACCATTTATCAGTTAAAGTAGATATTTGTAAATTAATGAAATGGCAACCTATATGATAAATTTTAAAGTTACAATTCTAGGTATGTATATGTTACAAAGAAAGAATCTTATTCCAATTTTTAGGCGATACTAACGACAATATCTTTATGATATGTTAAACACTATCGAAATACTCGTATCTAGTTCAGATTGACTCATATTGTGTTGCAATTTGACTTATACAATCAAACTGTTAGTAAAGGCTAGCAACAATTCTGATCATATTACCAGCTGCTCTAGCAGTTGCTTTAGCAATCATCGTTTTCCCACATCCTGGATTACCATACAACAAAACACCTCTAGGTGGTTTCAACAAATTGGAACCGACAAATAAATCTTGCCTACGGAAAGGTAACACAACGGTCTCCAGAATTTCATTGATAACATCATCCAAGCCGCCAATATCTTCCCACGAAACATTAACAGATTTAGGATCGACTAAATGGGAAGCGATGCTCATTTCATAGTCGCTTAGCTATAAAAGTAGGACCAATAAGGTATATTAATGCAAGGATAAATCAATAAAGAATTTATCGAACAATAGCACACTATCAAATCAAGTATTCCTGTGAAAGTTAGGAATTTAATATGATAAACTACTTGCGCGAGTGTTCAGAAGTATTACCTTAAATATTAGCAATTCAATAACTCATAATCATATCACTACAATATACCTGAGAAAATTACACATAGTAAACCATTTTGAAAAATATCATACATAGATCGCCGAAAATTAGTCTTGACAATATTTAGACCATTTTTAAGCAATCTTCTAACCCACCACCGCTACAACAGTAGTTCTTACAATTAATTTTACCTTTATGTTAGAGCTATCCAGTCCTATATTCTTTAAAATATTTTTGGCCTATAACATTAGAACAAGTTAGTGAGATTTCTGTATGTATGCACAAGTAAGGTAGAAACATGCTCATAAATACAGTATTTAAATAACTTTGTTATAGAATTTCAATAAAAATAGATTAAATGCACCATAGGTACACAGTACAATAAACGGCTATGAAGCTATGAACGTTTCAAAATGAATCATAAACTCTTGGCAATCGCCTACAAAAATGTATCAAGACAATCCATAAAGCTCTAATTCCGACACTATAGCAAGACAGAAATGGTTACTCTAGGCTAGTATGCAGCCTGAAATAAACTGTGCATGCTTGCTATTTACTTTCATTACTGTATCAGTACGATCGGCTGATGATAGCTTCGAAGGTATGTCGTATTCGCTGATGTGCGGAATACCGTTTCAATGTATAGCATACTGTACCACATCACCATGTCTAATTAGCCATCAATCATCATCAACTACCAGCGAATAATCCAACTCTAGTAAGGTATATCCGTATGCACTAGTAAACAGAGATAAACTAAGAGGAATACGCATACGTGCATGAACACTATTGAGAGCCCAACATTGAGCCATCCAGTAAGTTTGTTTATACAAACAATCATTAATGAATTATTGGTAATACGAGTTAGTATAGATATTTCTCCTAGAATCCTACTACGCGTAGCTTATAAGATTAACAGACACACGTTTAGTGGAACGTACCATTGTCAATAACACTAATAGCTGGTATGCCACAAATTAATTCCTAATCATCCTACAATATACTCGAATTATAGTATACGGTACGCATAATCTGGACAGAAAATGAATGGATTGGTACAACGGATAGTCATAGTAGTATCGACACTAAAGATGCTGTTGATCTGATATTTTTCCACTTGATAGCTTTCGTACAAATCTGATGGTTATACTATTCACTTAAAATGATTTCATGGTTATAATATTGATAGTATGGAATTAAAGGATGTACTTAGTATCTAAGAGGTCAATCTTGAATGTAGTCTAGAAAAATAGTGAATGTGTAGTCCGCTAATAATAAAGTTACCATTTCCTTTGCTTCTCGCTTAGCTCTTTGAGTCGGATCTGCCAGCTCATAGACCCACTTGCCTACGACATAAGCTAGTGTACAGCCCAAAGCAATTTCCACAAGCGGTCGTATAATGCTATTTCCAATAGTCTTTTCTTTGCCAAGTAAACTTTGAAAGGCCATGATGAGAATCGATTTAAAGTTGAATAATTTGATGCAATACTAATCCAAGGAAGAGCGTAGAGAATGAGTTATAGTGCATGCGTACACGTACAGTACTAAACAACGTCGTTGAACGACTATGACTGCTTACAGTACTGTATTGTACAGTACTATGCACTACAGTACTGTACAATTAGAGTGCAGTACTGTGCACTGTGGAATGGGCTCTACAGTGTACCGTATTATCCACATAGTACCGTACTGTACTGTACACTGTACTGTACACTGTACTGTACAGTGTACAGTACTGTGCTCAGTGTGCTGTACTGTACTGTGCTGTACTACTGTAACGTACCGCTGACAGACCAGTGACGTCTGTGGCACTATTGAGAGGCAGACATTTCCGGCCTCCTTTCGTCAGAGGATTGTGCCAAACACTTTGTTATGGCATCACTTTAGCATAAATTCTGCTTGAAAACAGGCTGAATATAAGATTATAGACTCTATTGAAATTACTACCCGTGATTTCGAAAACAGACATGGTAGATCCATACTAAATAGTTATTTTTCGATATTGACGGCCCCCATTGGGTAGGAAAAGTCCGTCTGTCTTTTTTCTAGTAGTACAGTTTGATCCGTTTCGTTTCCAATTCTTGAATATGAAGTTCAACACTTTAGTATTAACCAATGTAGCATAATCTTATACATCAATGCCCATCAGAGCTTACTGGTGGAAAATATAAAAAATTAACCGAATTTCGTCAAAAAATGCCCCGCATATTGAACTGTACAGCCATTTTATCAAGGATGGGGAAGTCAATGCGATATTTGCAAAATTGGGGGAAAAATAAAGTGCAGAATCAGTAAGAGTAGGAGCAATCCTATGCATATCACCGCTAGTTTACCAATTCTGCCAATTTGTAAAAACACGTAGGTGATCAATGATTTAAGGAGATGGGCAGTCATTGCGCTATTTCTCTAATTCTGCTAAAAATAGACGAAATAGAGTCAATGTAGACTATTGAATTCTAATTATAATCGAGTCGAGAGTCATGGAAGTATTTCTGTAACTCGTCTTTTGCATGCTTGAAACTTCGTACGTTATTGACTAAAATTGATACAAATCGGTCGCAGAAATGAGTAGAAAGGTTGGAAATGCATCGCTTTCTCTTTAAATCACGAATCATTTCAGTGATTGTACTAATTCATGGAGTACGTAAGCTATAATAGCTAGTATAAAAATGGAGAATCTCATTTAAGTCAAAAAAGAACTATTGCTCTATATACTGATACCCAAAAAAATAATTGGTGCTATTTTAGCCAATTTCCATTATATTATTTACTAAACACTATGACATTTATACACGCACTATTTACAACTTCAATGTATAATATCGTAATGAATTCATTATAGTTATGATCAGTACTGTACAGTAAATTATAGATCGTACAGTATACGTATAACGTAAAACTAGAATAGGAACTGTGAACAAATATGCCAAGTCAAACCGATCATTATACATGGCAAATTAAGTACAAATGCTTTGTAGCGTATAAAATGTATCTATCAATTAAACAAATCACAAAATGCCCATAATTTGTTACACAGCCTATTCAATTTCCATGAATTATTTTAATTATGGATATCAATAATTAATGAGCCGTAAAATGTGAGACAAATTCATATTATCTAGCGTACTGTATAGAGTAAACTTCCGTTGACCTTTCCCTCACCACCGTACAATGTAACATAGTGTTATACTGGCTACTTGAATCAGTAGGCAGTTACAAATTGTCTTCCTTATTCATACCATCGTAGCTATTCAGTGGATATGCTATAAAGTAATCCCGGTACCTTCAGAATATATTACTAAGGTCAATTCGATAATATATACTCGTATTATATTATCCCATCATATTCTATTGAAATAGTCTCGACCTAGTGCATGCATAAGTCAGCAAGTTGTAGACTACAACGCTATAGAATATCTTAATCAACGACATTCTATGATTCGTATGCATTATTACGTAATGTAAAGTGTTTCTATTCCTAAGTACGAAAACAAAAAATAACAGTAACCAAATAATAATGGTTGAGATTTTTTGCGTTGTCTTTTCTAGCAGCTTTCATTGTCATACAGTGCATGATTTGTCATTAATATAACTCAGCTAGAGGAAGTAATGTAAAAGATTACAAGAGTACAGCAGAATGAAATATTGGTAGAAACCTTATCAAGCGCACGAAAAAAAACAAAATGTCTAGTAGTATATCGCTTCATCGTTTCAATAAATACTTAAATGCGAAATCAATTACATTAATGCAGTAAAGATCTCAAACTTCGATTAAAACTGAACTAAAATGGGAGTATCTCTTTTGGGGAATGCTCTGTTTTGAATAGATAGTAACTACCCTACAATAAATAAATTCATAATTTATTCACCACCTGGAAATGATAGATCGACATTTTTACGACTGTCGTACAGTCCCTATAAAATTTTGGTAGCTATAAAATCGTCTATGTGCATGTTGAATACTAACTTACGGCCATGCTGTATGCGCGCGTACATCGATATACAGTAGAATAGAAAATAGTTTAGGAATGTCTTCGTTGACGATATTTTAATGCGAGAAATTAGGACTAGCGTACACAGCACCGTTCTCCCTAAAATTGACAACGCTATTCTAAAATACACAGTAACAAATATCGACGAACTAGCCAGACTTTCAACTATTTTCTTTTTTATCCAATTTAATTTGCTATCTTAGGTTATCGAACGAAAGTAAAATCAGGCAACTTGAAACCAACAACTATGACCAATCATTAAATACAACAATACAGATTTAGTCATATCATTTTCAGTCAAATCTTTAATCGAATAAAAGATCAGAAATGTCATGTACATTTGTACAGCTCGATAGAATATTGAAATTCATATTGTGAAAAGTGTAGCCACACGATAACGACATAGTCAACTGATGTAGGTCGAGGAAAGCATTGCACATGGTTGATGTTTATAATATTTTAAGATTCGAAGATAGACTGTACAGTATAATTTTGCACTATGCAATGCCATATCGCATTATATTGATAAAATACAGTACTGTTACTGTACTGCAATGTGCTTACCGTGAAGCATATTGTTTTGTTTTTCGTTTTACGCCAATGTACAGCACTATATTGCACCGTTTATATCATTAATAATTAATTGATGAATCTTAAACATTCTATCCGGCTAGGAATGATAACATTACAAGAATCTAGAATAATAACTAAATTACTTATTGAATTATTGATCCTATAGATCAAGTCGATACAACTACTGCAGTGCTGCAATTCCACCACGATAAGGTGGATTGATCAAATGCAATTAATCAATTAGTTATCATCTAGATTTAAGAAATCTCGGTTTCATTGTAGCACTATCTGTCAATCATATGATTAAGATGGTTAACAATTAAATAATTTAGCATTGGCAATTCCTACGTTACAGTAACCAATATCGTAACCGATGATGTGATATAATGCATTATGGAGTTTAAAGTTAGAATTACAGCTATATTTGATGGCTACATATAGGAAGTCACAGCAGAAGGGACGTGATAGAATACCATAACAGGCGGATGCGGCTGTGTTGATTGTGGAACAAAAGCATTCCGCGATGTTGTATCATAACCGCTATAATCTGATTTGAAAATAGATGAAGCTTGAACAACGCATGGGGGCTGCAGACTTTTTTGCAGAGGATAATCGTTATGTGCTAACTGTACAGAAGGCTGAGTACCGGAAACCTTATTCATTTGTACACTATTATCATGGATTGCAGTATTGATGCTTTGATGCAAGCTATCAGTCATGCCATGTACAGTCGATATACTAGTCCCATTAGCGATAGGTAATGGAGTATTATTGCACATATTGCCACTAGAAAATGATGCCTGTTCATATTGTCCATTATAGCCGCTAAGGACACTAACTGCCGATGAATTTGGCTGTATTATAGCATTCGATTGAGATTTACTGTCGAAAGATGTTGACGTCTGACCTATGAATAGACATAGGTGAGATAAATGTCAGTAAATCTTGGCATTTTCTTAATACGAATATAATGCCGCTTACACCAAATTGAAATTAAAAACGAAAAGGTAAAGTACAGAGTTGTCCAGTTAAGTATTCATGTTGATAGTCTAATTTTGTATGCCAAATCATCATAACTTTTAACTCATTACTGACTACACTTATTAAGTTTACAGTATACTGAATAATATAGTAAATCTATATACAATTCAATAAGGTAGCTAAGAAGGATGTTATTACAAGCCTTGTTTGTTTTAAGTTGATTTACTGTTTCAATTGAGCTTCCTCAATAATGATAGTACTATACTGTACCTCACAAAAGGACATTATTTCTGATTGAACTTTTAATATTAAGATTATCCTTATACTTATAGAGTATAGACATGCATAAATATCATAGTTTTAGGGCACACAGTTAGCATAGAAGTTATTTCCTGTCTGTAGTTACGCTATATAGAAATTGTAGTAATATAATAGAAATGGACTAAAGTCATCAATTTCAATCCTAACATTTCCTGCAATGTTAATATTATATTGATTGGTGTTTACCTACTGTAGTGTTGAAATTTTTTAAAAGGCTCTCATTTCCATGATGATCTGCTACTGTTAGCGCAATACTGCCATCATAATTACAACCATCCAGTTGAGAATAGTTAACTTCCGACGCTGATTGCAAATGAGAATAGTTAGTTATGTCGTCTACTTCGTCGCTTGACATATCTATGGTACAGGTATTTTTTTTGGAATTGGCCATAGCATCATGCAAGACATCAGATTGTTCACTAACGCTTGAATTGGTGCTTTTTGAATTAAATAACGTAGTAGATCCATCATTAGATAGTTTGCTTGGGCTTCGATGTTTTCCCTCTTTACGCCATTTTGCGCGACGATTGCTAAACCATACCTAATTGAATTCAAGCTAGTATTAGTAAAGGATAACGAGTAATAACTTATCAAAGATATGATGACCGTATAACGATTTTATTTTAGCTATTTAGACACAGCCGTGATTAAGTTCAATTAACTAGTAGTTGATGATAATGAACATCATTGTTATTTCTACCTGAACACGAGCTTCAGATAATCCAATTTTTGAAGCCAATTCTTCTCGGGTATAAACATCAGGATACTGTGTTGATTTAAAAATATCTTCTAACTTCTTAATCTGCTCATCGGTAAACATTGTTCTATTGCGACGTAATTTTTGTAGCTTTAAATCTGCAGCTTGATGATCCATTTTAGAACTGTAAATTAAGTCTATTCACAACAAAATCGGCAGGATTAATTAAAAAAACTCTTTTTATTATTGTATTGCCTCTGCATGGATTAAAGTTAAGAAAATGATCTAATTAGTCATACTTGATACTAACTTATCTATAGTATAAACTACAAATTATCACCTGCTACAGCGTATTGTTGACTGGTGATGTATATACACCAACTAATAATAACAATAGTATGGACCAATTTAACTTACTTGATTTATTCGTATAATCGTTAACAAGGCCCGCATCGTTAGCTTGTATGGATGAATTAACAGTCTTGTAATGGCCAACAGATGATGTCTGGGGTTGTGGAATACCTAATAGGTCGTTAATTCTATAATGACATGATGCTTCTACTCCAGTAGAGAGAGCTGATTGTTTCCTGCTATGATTGCCGTCGTTATACTTGTAGGCGCTGAGAACTTTACTTCTGACAATCCGATTGATTGAACTAACACTAGGTACATTGCTAGCGTCGCAAATTTTATCGCCTAGCAATTTTTCACGAATTTCCCACGCAAATATCGTTGAATTATTCCTTTTATATTCAGCAATTTTATCAACTACCGTTGGTGTTGCCACCTTAGGCTTGCTTCCTCCAATAATACCTGGGCTAACAGAACCCGTTTGATAATATCGACATAATATCTTACTGACACATCCATGTGATACTCGTAATTGGCGTGATATATCACACGGACGAACACCACTTTGAGCTAATTGAACGATATGACGACGTATTGCTTCACGCAGTGGCCTTCCATTTTCAAACACGCCACCAAGCTGATTAATTGTAACATGTCCTAAAAGTTGACAACAGTAGAAATGAGATATATTTATTAGCATGGCTGATTAATTTATAACAACATCATAATTCATTATCCATGAATAGCTATCGAACTATATGATAGAACTAAAGATACGCAAAATGCCGTTATTTAATGTGTTAACCAATTTCCAATTGCAATTTATTACCGTTAATAGCAGTTTGGCAATTCATGTGGCCTTACATGTATAACTGATGTTTTTAATCGTAAATGTTATCATATATAATGGCCATTGGTTGTTGATATTAAAAATTAAACAATTGTTAGGATATTTGATCATAATATTTGTGTGTGGGCTAGGTGGATAGATAAAATCAATGGATTTTAACTATATTATGAAAATAGCATTGAAAACAAATTGTGTAGTAAATACTAAGAGCAATATCGATTAAAATTGAGATATTTATGTCAGTCAAGATAAATGCATAAAAATTGATACAGTTACATTTCATTCCCGTAACCCCATATACAGCAGTTTAGAGCATTCTACTGCACTTTCAATTAAGTAGATAGAAATTTGGGTAGTTTATTTTTACTTAGAACCAGGCAATCAAAGCACTGTAACAAAAATACAATATCCGCGCATGTTACTAAAATAGCCATAATATGTATACAGATGTCAGATCGACCCTTATTTGTGCAGAACGTATATAGAAATAATGTAAAAACATATTTTTCTACTTATTATTTCAAATCAAACTATAGAGCTGAATACAAAATAACATATAGTGTAGTTAAAAATGAATGGTATTGATGTTGATCAATAAAATAAACGTTTAGGAATAAAAATAAATACCCTTCTGTCATTAATGAGCAATAAGAAGTCGCACCATTGATGAAAGCTAATGTATGGTGTTTTTAATTAAAAATAGTCAACCTTTTCTATAAAATAATTCAATACCCAATAATAATTTACATTTACGTTTTTAGAAAAAGAAAAAAAAATTGGATCTAATAGTCCATAACTACTGTATATCTTTTTAATGGAGTATCGCAATAATTCTATGCATATAGCAATGAGTGTTATCGACTAGCTATTTTTTACTGGTACAGAAGTGGAAGTTATGAAATTAATATCGTGATCATTTTTTTGATAATTCTATAATATAAACTTAACTTCCATCAATGGAAATAATACATTGGTTTGAATTATAATATTCTGCATAGATTGGTATGATGAAATTGAAAACAACAACTGCAGTGTATTTTATTAATAGAACTATGCATGGAGTTAATTGTTGCATAAGGGAATATAAGATAGGCCAATGGGATCATCTTCTTATATAGCTATTACAACTTATTTTAATTACAAAAAAAATTCAACTTCAATAATACGAATAAACAACCCACTCGGTCTTTTTAACTATTTCTATTATTACTTCTTGTTGCTTGCTTTATCTATAACAATATACAAAATATGGCTAGTCTATGATGGGCTTTTCTATCTTAAAGTCTATTGAATTATAATGCTCTATTTTTTTTAATTTCGTACAAATGTCAAAGTTTGTAGTAATAACAGTTCTATCAATAGAGGCGGGCTACCCTTTTTATTGTCATTTTGTTGTTGATCCTCAATAACAAATTGTTTTGATCTTTATCTAATTCTATAGAATGGAGTACTTTAATGAAAATTCAATAGGTTGTAACGAATAAATATTGTCAAGTCAATCATAATCTGACAACTACCAGTATGAGATACCTAGGAATAAAATAAAATCAAATATTAACCAATCGAAACAAGTTATTTTTGTATTTTTCATAATATCTTATTGCATTACTATTGAATCGTATAGAGTAGTCGCTATCAAGCAATTTCTAATGATAGACGATATAAGGTCTATCCGTCAAATCTTAACTCAGCTCTCCTAGGGTATTGTTTTACATTACTGTAAAGAATTTAAAATTTTAGATTTAAATGTAATTTTTGATTCTTACGACTATAGTATTGTAGAATATTATCGGTTATATCCTATTACTTTAGCTGGAAAGGAAAGATATGATTATTTCTTGACCAGAGTCGTTAACCTAACGGAAATTATTTAATCATATAGTTGTAACTGGAAGGAATACAGACACTTTATAGACTATAATTAGAAACCACTCCAGCTGCGATCAATGAACTCCAAGGGCTACTCATCAATATCAACAATAGATAAAAGGCTAAGTCTACAATACTGCAATAAACCATCAATAAAGTTAATGAATCGTATTTTTAACTGTATTGATTGAAATATGGAATAACAAAATAGATTTTGCAGAGTATCATTATACTACTGGCACATGTTGTAAACAAATTTCAATATTATTGTATAAGAAAAACAGCGGCCTATAATCAAGTAATACGAATTTTAATAAGAGTATATAAGAAAAATTATACATGCTACAATAATAACAACAACGACTTCCCATCCCAACTACTATCAGTAGTTTTACCTATCTCACTACAAAATATGAATGATGAGTATACTTGTTATATTGCAGTTAAAAAGCTATCAATCTCTATCAATGTCTTATTCTATTTTGCTATAAAGAAATCATGCTTTACCCACACTTTAAATATCATAAAGCATAATTCCCCATTTTCTATCCTACTGCACTTGTGCTAGATTTAATAATAAGCTAGCAAATAATATTAAAACTGATTCTAGTTATAAAATGTAAACAGACTGGATGATATGACTAATAAATAAAAACCAAATAGCCCCTGAAGGCGAACAAAAACTGAGTGTTGTTTACAAAATATAAAAAATTTTCATTCAAAAACATTCTGATAAGCCAAGTTGTAAGCTAACAATTTTACGGTACTGCTATAGTATTATTTTTTCGTGTGGTATAATAGTCTCATTATTGCATGCAATAAAGTAGAATATGATGATATCTATGTCTTCTGATCTTAACCTATCTTTTGATAGCAATACGCAATCTCATATAAAGTAATATGATAACATTAATAAACATGTCAAACATTGGCGATTTTTGCAAATTGAATCAAATTTCAGCAGCTAGCAGAGGAAATGTTCTGTATTGAAAGTGTAATAGTTGTTGTCAATAAGGTAAATACAGTATTCCAGTTTATCAACTTCATTAGCAATAGTATACTCTATAATTAAGACTGGATCAGATAAAGTTTTTAGCGTTGGTGTTGCATACCTATTAGTCAATATTAGCACACCCTATCATTTATCCACCTTACACGTCTTTAGCGATAGACTACATTTGACTATGTAAGTGTCAGTAAAAAGTGATCATCAAATGAATGAATCAAATTGACTCTTTGCAATACCTGAATGCGGCATAACTATGTCTAGTATTGATTGATTGATTCGGTAGGCAAGAAGAGTAGATTAGAGAAATACTTTTTTAATTCCAGGAGTAGATTACGGTGAAAATTCACTTCCAATCAATGAAAAATGGTATGTAGATCAGTATTGAAAGTTGATTGCAGCTAATTTCAATAAGTTGGAGACCAAGGAGATACAATTGCTTGAATATAGGATGAGACCAATTCAAATTGTAGTATTATAAAATATATTGAGATAAGTTGATTTGAATTAACGTAAAATTCTTGCAAGCTGATATAGTTATTAGAAGCAAAACTGTACTAGAAATTAATGAACTCAATATCAATAGGATATTTTAGAATAGCTAATAAGATTCCAATGTAGCGTGGGATTGGCTTACAGCGTCGAAGTGCTCAAAATAGAACTGGTCGGATGAAGGAAAATCAATATCGTACGAACTAATTTTTCTTTTAACCTAAACTAGACTGACTGTTTACAGTCAAGTAATATAGTACTAATAGCAATAAGATAAAATCCAAGATGAAAATGCTCCAAATAAATGGCAATTGGTCACGGTGTATGATAATAATTGGAATACTTGGCGTCAAAGTTAGTTAAATCCGGTGCGACCACTACAGCGAGCGCTACTCACTGCTAGTTGAGCCACAGCACGGTTGTATCTGATGTGCAATCGAGCTGTTCAGCTTGCATTTAAAGCAATGTGCGGCTGCAACTATTTGTTTGTAATCTAGCAGCTATTCTTATGAAATAAAACATGAAACCCAATTTCCAATGATTGGCTCTATCAATAATACTAACAAAATGGCTAAATGGGACAATTTTTATAAAGTACGTCAATAAATTACATTGCACAATATATTAAAAATACGCAAACATCCGGTTACGTAATTGTGACGTCAGCTTGATTTCAAATTATAGAAAAACTTTTGCTTATAGTAAACAATTCATCGGATGTTTATGACATTCAAGAGTGAATTCTATTCTACGGTATACTAGTATTCTAACTACAAAATTAATTTCTATTCTACAGTCGTTGAGCTTGTAGGATATAGCTAGAGATCGAAGAAAACCTATAGTGGATCTATATGTCTTGTGACATGACAGAAAAGGATAAGCTTTGCAAATTGATGAGATACTCAATAACATACTATCTATATATATTATATCAAGTGGTAAAAAGATGCAATATACTAAATAAAAAAATCAATATTCTTAATATAGATCGAATCACAGTTAGAGGGCTGAAATAGTATAATATAACCTAAAGGCTTGGCTAAGAATAGTAGACTACGATAACGAGTTGGATAGAAGGATTTTTGCTGGACAGGATAGTCATTCTTTAGAATAGCCAAGATTCATCATATCGAAAAATAGTTTTAAAATATAAAAATAGCCAGTATTTTATTTAATAATTGACTAGATTGAATTATTGTCATAGAGAATTCGAAATATCACTTTGGGTATTGTATTGATATTTTAAATATAGTAGAAATGAAGACAGTATATTTGCAAATTGATAGATAGAGATAGGTAGATTGTTTTCAGGCACGATATTTTTGCCACTCTAATCTGTCATTCTATCCATAGGGAGTATCTATTAATACCTCTGTAGGCTTGAGATAAAGTTATCGATAGGTAGATCAATACATACAAATGATAGCACAGTGCAGAATATATTCTTTAGCCTAAGAAGAATAAATACTTATCATTTGGTACG